ACTACCTCACTGATGTTTTAAAGGGGCATTTACCTACAAAGCTGTGCTTTACAATCCGACAGTGTGACAATACCTTTGTGGTACCCCCAACTAAGCCCGAGCTTTCAGGTAGGCTGCCATCTAACACCAGTCGTTAAACACTTGGTAATGCAGTGCAAAGCAATTTATGGGTGTCCAGGTTAGCTCATGGCTGCAAGCGAAGGGCTTGACAATTTGTTTTGCCGTTCAACGCGTTTATACAGGAAATCTGCGATCGTTGCTATTCAATCCTTACTCCAGATTTATGGGCGACACGACACATTGAAGGTCAAGCTCAAGGGGAAGCCTAACTGTAACTTCTGGTTACAGCCGACTTGTTGTATTGAACAGAACGTCTGACCCTATTGCACCTCACCTACCTGAGATAAAATATTACGTTGCATTTAGCGATCTTGCCCTCAGTCAGCAGATTGTATGATACTGGAGTGTTTAGTTTGTTTTGTTTTGTTGTTTAATGCCGCACTCAGCAATAGTCCAGCTATATCATGGCGGTCTGTTCATACTCGAGTCTGGACCAGACAATCCAGTGATCAACAACATGAACATCAGTCTACGCAATTGGGATACAATGATATGTGTCAACCAAGTCAGCGAGCCTGATCACCCGATCCCGTTAGTCTCCTGTTACGACAAGCATGGGTTACTGAAGACCAATTCCTTCCGAGATCTCCACGGGTCTGATAATGATGATATTACGGAACATCAGTGGTGATACACCTAACAGGTGTTTCTTGTTATTGAGTGAGTGTGTGTTTTGTACTCGTTACCGCGCGCTTTCGTACAAGGTGCTTTAAATAGACAAGTCATTTTAATATAAAACATCAACTTAATAAACAGTGCTTTTATACAAATGAATGACTTTGTAAAGCTATATGAATTAAAACGTAAACACAATATTTAAGGTTAAACTTGATTAAAAACGTATTAATACACTTTTAAAAACCCGAATGAGGTCTTTTAGAAGAATTTATTGCGTTAGTTCAAGAGCAATTTTTTATGTCATTTCAATGGACAAAACGGTGCAAATTCACACGTCTATAGACAAAGAGTTCGATAACACAACAGCAGCCTTTATTTTTATGTTTCTCTTTACTTGAGTCCACTAGATGGTGTCAAAGTCAGTACTTTGTATGGCCATCACTAGCAGCAATTACATGTACTGCTCGGCCCCGTCTCGGCACAGACTGGATAAGTCCACGAAGTTACTGAAATATATTGGAAAACATAATACCCAAACGCGATCATGAGAGCTATTGCGTAAAGAAATATAAGCGACAATACCCATCCCACATCTGTAAGAAATCACTGCTAGAAGCAGAGTCGCTTGTACAATTTATCATGTGTTTATGTGTATGTGTTAATGAATTCTTTTTGAAACATATGCAAAGGTTTGTCAGTTGTTCCCTTGAAAAAAAAAGAAACAACCGGAAACGTGTAGTACAAGTCAAAAAAGGGAATTGCATCGGGCATACGTTTTGTCACTGATTCGTTAAGTTTAGAAATTTCCTCTACATGTCCACCATAAATATTTTTAGAGCTTTACTGTAACAACCTCGATAGAAAACCAACCTACCACGATCGTGAGACGCTCGTTGAAATCTTGATGAAATGAGCATGCTCGATGCTTGTGTTCTGTTTACCACAATCGTAAACCTTGACATTATAGAGAGTGTTTACTTTAAACTGAAGACAAATAAATTCAAAACGCAAATCGTTTATTATATCATCATAGAACTAGCAACAGGAATGATTATTGCACAGGCCTTCTTGGCAAGGCTTTGTTTCCTTTCACTGTAAGTGATTTACCACACAGGCGGTCGTTATTCAATCTTTTGTGTCCGCGATATCCGTCGGTAATGTTCATTCTACTCCGCGTACTGACAAGGAACTGACGCTGACGAAACTTCCAGCAAAAACGTTCATGAAGAAATGTTTTTCAAGCAAACAAATGGCGATATGACGGTTGGCTTCACTTAGACGTGGCATTTTGCGTTCGTCAACAATATTCCAAATACAGTGAATACTCGACAGACAGCGATCAACCTTTTATACCCATCACTGAGACTATCTGATCCCCAACTTTCACGTGCATTGCATGTGAATTGTGTATTCTGTGACACTACATGCCGAAATTGAAAATCATGCTGTTTAATACCGGCATTTTACGGTGGTGCGTTTTGTTGTGATGTTTCAAACCATAAACACCATAGGACTCATAAACAGAGCAAAACCTTTTGTAAAATGAATCACGTTTTAATTCATTGCTACCACAAATTGCTAGTTTCATGATGCGTTTCTTTTTTTGGGAGAGTATATAAAGTACAGACAGTACACTAGCACAGTGAAAAGTCATCCAAACTGTAAACACGTAACTGTTTAGTTTGATGTAGAATATCAACAATGATAGGCCAACAATGAAAGTAAATAATCATTTAATGTTTGGAAGAGTTCATGCCATAACTTTAGATCCATAAAACTGTCTTGGCTGAGTAGCCGGTGTCCTTCCATTACGCAGAGAGGCAGTTCGCAGACGCCTTAAAACAACAACATTAGTAGCCCAGATAGTGTGTGATCAGTTCTACTCAGGTAAGACAGTCACTGGACAATCGTGCACATTTCACTCATGCTACTGAACAAAATGTCCGTCATGCCATGTGGTTTTGGCGCTTGGATTACTGCGCCAATATTACTTCTGGAACCAGTGGACAGTCAATGCCAAAGGTACGTAACTATTGTGTGCAATCCGACAAAACAATGATGCTCCTTTGGATATGAAGTCACGTAGATTACATAACGTAGATTACACAGACGTCCTTTAGGCCCCACACACAGTGTTAAGTGTAAAGGAAGAGCATCTCCTTCCCCTAGTTGCTACTACTGAATAGGTCCGTTCATTTTAAAACTCTTTGTGTGACACTGGATGTACAGGTTTTATCTTATGGTGGTCACGGAGATTACATCCTTAAAACATCTCTACAACTTTAAACCTGTGAAGCATCATGGTGAGAAATCGGCTGAAATTTAGTAGCTATGAGATTGATATTGTATTGTTCCAACATAAAACTGCAAATAAGGAATACTATCTAATAAATACATATAATTTGCATACTAATTATATGGTCATTTTCATGGGGTAACGTAGATTACACTTTTCGGAGACATCGCAATATACATAAAGTCTAAAAAGTTTAAATCAGATGAAGATATGTTCTGGGTACGGACGAAAGGGATGACAAGGTGACTAATTACTTTGAAAGATTCACTCAAAATGTTATACTATCATTCGAGACATGCACATTTTGGTGGTTTTGACTAACTTTTTACCCTGAGTCACACAAACGAATAACAGATCATTAACAACTTTTATGTCTCGGGTACCTACTAAGTCAGTCGCCTAATATAAACATGAAATGAACAAGTGAAATCAGTAAAAGAAAAATTAATGTGGAGACACGTAAAATTACAAATGTTGCACATTTCTTGAGAATAGGGGATATCAACAAGCTCTAGATCGCCAGGAACTGAAGGCAGATCACCATTCAGCTGGAGGCCATGGGGACCTATCGTGCCTTTGCTACCTGCATGGTCTCCTGTTGCATTTACATAATCCCTTCAGGTATTGTCAAAATTTAGACAAACATTACAAGTACATATTTTCTACTTTTAAACAGTGGTAGATATAAAATACTTTGATTGGGGTTGGTCAGTGGCAGCCTCTCATGGGGGCAATAATGTCACTGTTCTTTAATCCCGTCGAAGACACGGCAACTAACAATCTCAAGCAATAATTATATAATATCTACATGTAACATAACACACTTTGTTCATCCGAATGTGTCAGTTTCGATTTCAAGTACAAAAACAATGTATAGGTGAGAAACCCCATTTACAATACATATTCCCTTCAAAATTTCTCCTACAACATCATCAGCAATCGTGACTTCTACGACAGAATAGAAACTTACAAACATATGAAGGGCTACAGGTGGATTGTGCTCACAACGATCGCTCACCCTACTCCTGACGTCCAGTTTCTTGTCAACATTCCTGGGTGGAATGTAGTGGTGGTTGGTGATACCAAGACCCCGGCCAGGTGGAGGTGAACATAACAGACTTACATTTATCATATATTGTGTGATGGAGGACATACAAGTACCAAACGTCCTTTTTATCTCAGTAAGGTGGCCTAAAATTGTTCTGTTGCGGTCTACTGCCTAGTTTCCATTTATACCATATAATATACCGAAATACTCTTTTTTTAAGGCTGATTTGGTTTGTTTTATACCTAAACAGTGACACTTCACTTACACTTTTACTGCCTTTTATGGATATACGTTTGAAAATTAACCAATTATCATCGCGATATGGCTGCAATATTGCCGATGATATAAACATTTTGAACTCACTCTGTCATAGAATATAAATCAATCATTCGTATCATAGTATATAACGGATAGTGTATAAGGGATAGTGTTATGGATGAAACAAACCAAGGCGATGAACTATGACATTTACTGAGCAAAGTGGTTAATATCTCAGGCATCTTGTGACGAGAACAGTTGAATCACAGTAAACAAATGACAGTAAACATTGTCAAACAATGCGACTCTGAAAAACAAACCATTACAAACTCTGAAATCTCCTGTTACCTTATACATCAATATTACATTTAATATCATTAAAAGAAAATCTATTTACCAACAGCAACTAAAGACTCCCCTATAATAGAAATAATTGATGCTGAATCGTTTCTCCACAGATTACCAAACTGCGTGTATTTAAGCTTAGAGGATCAACAGAAACTGCCTGTCGAGACAGTAGGTTTTCTACCAAGAAACAGCTACGCAAGAAAAACAGCAGCATATCTGTATGCTATTTCTAAAGGGGCACAAATCATATACGAGACCGATGATGACAATCGACCACAAGAATTACTAAAGAATTTCGTCCAAGAAAGAACAATGTGGGGATTGGTGTATAAAGGAGGATCACGCTTCAATCCATACAGACATTTTGGACAACCAACTTTGTGGCCAAGAGGCTACCCTCTTAGTTCCATTGGAGAAAACATCTCTACTGAATATGTACTGAATCACTGGAAAACACCATCTATTCAACAGGGTGTGGTCAACGGTGACCCGGATATGGATGCCATTTTTAGACTGACCCGGAAACAAACCCACTCCCAGCTCAATGTGACCTTTGATGACCGAGCTCCACCAGCAATTGTTCCAGCTGGTGTATTCTCTCCCTTTAATTCCCAGAATACCCTTTTCCTCTATGATGCAGTATGGGCTCTCTTGATTCCAACTACAACCACGTTCCGGGTATGTGACATCTGGAGAGGCTACTGGGCTCAGAGACTTCTTTGGGAGATGGGAGGAAACCTGGGATTCTTTCCACCAAATGCTTACCAAAAGAGGAATTCACATTCCTACATCCGGGATGCTGTGAATGAAAAGGATTTGTATTTTCAAACTGAACGTCTTGTCGACTTCCTCCAAACGTGGACATGTGAACCAATCAAACCATTCTTTGCCTGCATGACTAAACTGTCTATAGACATGGCACATGCGAAATTTTGGAAGGCAGCGGATGCTGACCTCATTAACCTCTGGATCAAAGACCTCAAAGCTCTGGGAAACAAAGAACCAAGACGAATTCCATTCCGTTCGCTTCAAAACGGCGTTCAAGTCACACTAGATCCGAAATTGACAAAGCAAACACGCCTGACAAATCAACAGGTCAATGTCACATTCTGGGCAGCTGAACAGACACCACCTCAAATATATTCCACAGGCAAGGTGTCACCAAATGTTGTCTCACACATTAGTGAAATAGCTTCTTATTGTAACAATCATACCAGTCATTCGTTTAGCATGTTAGAACTGAACGGTCTCAATCAAATTAATACATATCCTAACCTTTTATTAATTATTGTTTTCAACTTTCCTCATTATGCTAACTTGGCATTTCTTGAGACAATGTACTGCTTGCACTTCCCGCACATTGTTTATTGTGGAACTAAGAAAGATAAATTTCAAAACTACTCTAAGCCTCTCGGCAAGCATTTGACCTTTGTAGAGGTTGACATTGGCCATGGATGGTTTGCTCAGAACTGTCTCATTCAAGCCATGAAAATGCAATACACTGTTGATGGATATTTATACATGGGTGACGACGTATTGCTTAATGTGTGGAATATTCATACCCTTCCTCTAGACAAACTCTGGCTTGTACATTCATCGGTTTTGCAACCCTCTGAAAAAACGAGCGGCCGTGGTTTTCACATCCTAAAGTTGGTTTAAAAACGTACCAGACTGCCCTTGCAGCTTTGAAAGTGACAGACGAACATAAGTATAATACTTCCAAACAAATGATATCGACGAATTCAAAGAAAAATGATTCCATATTTTATGGCGGATCAGACATTGCTTATGTTCCTGCCAGATACAAAGATGAGGTACAGTATTATATGGAACATTTTTCAAAATCAATCTGTTTGTTGAAATCATATTTCACACGGTGTTTGGAGGTACCGAGGAGTGGGTAAACGTGGTAAAGTTACCGGGAACATATTTATGGTATGATGGGAAAAGGGACCATTTTGAAAAGTATTACAACAAGCATAATGTTTTTCTTCATCCTGTTAAAATATCTAAATTACATTCTGCGCCAGAGGGAAGAAGGTTTTTCTGTGATACATTCCTGCCTTTAACGTTGTATGACTGAACGGGAGAAGAATCTACCAGGTTTAGCACAACTGGTTAATAGTCAGGTGATGGCATGTTAGTCCTTTGAGTGTCCTAAACATCTTTTTCTCAGAAACAATAGAGATCAAATAGAGATTAATAACATTACACATGTATGTTTCCACCAAAGATCACATCCCAAGCTGCCAAAGAGGTTCGATTTCGTTTTACTTTTGCCACCACGTCAATCATGTTAAAAAACGTATTTTGTGTCATTACTTTGTCATTTTGTTTTCAAAATGAAATGTAGTTTTGTACACTTGCTCAGCAGTGGGCTATACTCTTTTTGCCACATTGTACCATTTTGTGTTGGATCATACCTTTGCACTTTGACCTGATGTTTGCCTTTACGTTTTGCTTTATTATCTAATCTTCAGATCTTAAAATAGTAATTTTCAGACAGTATTTATGGAGTATTTATTATTATAGCAAATGTTTTAACGCGTCTGGAATAGTTTTGATCCTAAAACACGGCATCTGTAGACAAAGTATTTTTTTGTTGTTTATTTAAGAATGTAAGACAGTGAGAGATGGAGTTTATGATTTATGTCATTCTCAGCCGTTTCATATTGGCTCAAAATGTCGCGAATCTTAGACGTTTTTACATTAGGCGAATTAAACAGGCAATAACATTTGTGAAATGACAAGAATATGAAGAAAATGATTATGTAATATGTATAATAAACCTAGGTTGAAAATTAGGAGATAATATGTTAGGAGATAACATGATTTATTGATAATCATATTGTCAGGATGTTAGCCAAATTCCGATGGGTGTATTGACAATTTTGTGTAAAGGAGGTTTACTAGATGTCATGTGTGCCGAAAGTTACTATATCTATTTGTTCATAGTCCTAAATTGTTTGTAGTTAGTTCAAGTATGCTTTGCAGTGTTCATTGTATTTCTATACCTTCGTAGATGGGGATTTTGAGTGTTTTCTTCTCAAAACACAATATCCTAACTATACACCCCGAAACAGTAACACAAAGTGTCAGTGTTAATATTGAGATACTTGGCATGTGTTTTTCCAAGATAATAAGGATTGATATTTTATTTCTTATAGTATGTTTTTACAGTATTAACCGTTATGATTATTTATGAATCATATTTACCCTTAATGGAATAAATAAATATATAGATGTGTCTGTGTGTCTTGTTTGTTATGTGAAATAATTGTAAGTTCTGATACAAGTAAACTATATGGTCTTTGCAGTAACGCAAATTTGTAACAAGGATATGAGAGTGTGTTGCGACCAGACTGGTTAAAACGGTTGTTGAATGAACTTTGATGCTGAACATCTACCACCATTAAATGCTCTTCTTAATCATGAACTGTTTCCCAAATCTACAGCCTGTTTTTAGATTATGTATTGTCAAATAGTGCTATTAATTCTAACTTCACATACTAATTTTAATTCGAACTGTGGTATTCTATTTGTTTTAGTATCGTTTGACGACAGGTTATATAAAATTTTCATATTCTTTATAAACATCAAATTTGTTCTCGTAACGATATGGCTGAAACATTTCCCATGTGACGTTAAATATTAACTCACTCACTCTCATCCCAAATTTGACACATTTAAAACCTACTATCCGGTATGCATCAAAATGTTTTTATCAATATTAATAAAACAAACCCTAAGATTCGCCATTTTTTCTCATGTAATAAAATGATAATTAATATCATGTGTATTAGCAAAACCTCGAAAGATTTGATTGAAATGTTTAGGAAATGACAAAGTTCGATTCTGTCACAGGACAAGGTGATTTAACAAAGAAATTTAACTTTCCACCATTTGTAACTTTACGTGACTCCGCATTAAACACACACACACACACGCACACACACACACGCGCGCACGCGCACACACACACACACACACACACCCTTTCATAATGACTTCACCTGTTCATTTCATGTTTATATCAGGCGATAGGCTTGGTAGGTGTCCGGGACAGAGAAATTGTTAATGATCTGTTATTCATGTGTGTGAAACAGATTGACAGGATAAAACGTTAGTCAAAATAAAATAAAAATGTACATGTCTCCAATGATATATAACATAAATATACCATCTTGAGTGAATATTTCAAAGTAACAAAACAGATTTCATGTTCGGCACAAGGTATTGTCCCATTCGTCTTTACCCAGAACATATCTTCATATGGTTTTATTTTTTTAGAATTTATGTTTAATATGATCTTCATCCGACTTCTCACCATGATGCTTCACAGGTTTAAAGTTGTAGAGATTTTTTAACCATCGATGTAATCTACGTGACCACCATAAGATAAAACCTGTACATCCAGTGTCACCAGAAGGGTTTTAAAATGTGTAGTTGTGGTCGAGTTCAGTGGACCTGTTCAGTGGTGAGATGCTCTTCCTTCACACTTTAAAAGTTTGGTGGACGTCTATGTAATCCACGTTATGTAATCTACGTGACCTCATTTCCAAAGGAGCATATTTTTTTCGCGGTATGCACACAACAGTTACGTACCTTTGGTACTGACTGTCCACTGGTTCCAGAAGTAATATTGGCGCAGTCATCCAAGCGCCAAAAAACAAATGACATGACGGACATTTTGTTCAGTGGCGTGATTGAAACATGGACGATTGTCCAGTGACACTTTACAGTTCATCACACACTACCAGGACTACTCAGGTAAGACAGTTTTATTGGTCTAAAGTTATGGCATGAACTCTTCTAAACATTAAATTATTATTTACTGTTAATTGGATTATCACTGTTGATGCTCTACATCAAACTATACAGGTGACGTGATTACAGTTTGGATGAATTTTCACTGTGCTTCTGGGGGCGGTGGGGTAACCTAGTGGTTAAAGCGTTTGTTCGTCACGCCGAAGAACCGGGTCAGAATCCCCGCATGGTACAATGTGTGGAGCCCACTTCTGGTGTCCCCCGCCGTGATATTGCTGGAATATTGCTTAAAGTGGCGTAAAACCAAACTCACTCACTCACTGTGCTTCTGCTCTGTCTGCACTTCAAATGATGAATGAAACGAAGAAACTGTTAATAACTTTTGTATCTTTTGATGTAACTCTGTATAAAGGTTTAGCTCGCTGACTTGGCTGATGCATGTCCTCATTTGAGATTTAGAAAATCTTTGATATCGCTGATTTGTCTTTGTTTCTAGATCAGTACAACAAGCAGACGTTTCTAACTGAAGTAGACCATGTCAATTTATGTCTGCGTCAAGATTGTGTTAACATTAAGAGGGCTTGACGAGGTTATCTGTGAGTCAGTATGAAGATATCTCCACCGATACATGTCAATTTATGTCTGCGTCAAGATTTTGTTAACATTAAGAGGGCTTGCCGAGGTCAACTGTGAGTCAGGATGAAGATATCTGCACCGATATATGCTACTGTGCATGCTATATACTATAACTGCAGAGTGAATCAACTACACTTACCAAGTTCTATATGATTTTGTGTACAGTGGATATTGATTGCACAACGTTCCCAGGTAGTCAAGGGACCCGTGAAGATCCATATTTGTCGTAAGAGGCGACTAACGGGATAGGGTGGTCAGGGTCGCTGACTTGTTTGACACATGTCATCGGTTCCCAATTGCGCAGATCCATGAATTGTCTGATCCAGACTCGATTATTTACAGACCGCCGCCATATAGCTGGAATATTGCTGAGTGCGGCGTAAATCTAAACTAAACTCACTCACGCACTCCAACATTATGTTAGTACGTACACAGCAACACATATATGGAAAACGTGAAAAATCAGTTTTATGACCGGTTTCCTCAAAAAGCAGTTTTGAGGCTAGTTAATGATAAAAAAATACACATCTCCAAGCCTCATCATGAGCGTGTTAATGAATCACTATGTGATAGTGATGATACCAGGTGTTCACGATGAAACCTGTCCCACCGATGTCTCCCATTACAAACATATCAAGTGCTATTCAATTCTTCACCTGGAAAACTGCGTAAACATATGTTATGTCCAAATATGGAATTGCATCGGGCATCATTTTTCACGTTTATCATCTCCTGTTTCCGCCTATT